TTTTCTTTGCATTCACAACTTCATTAACTGTTAGTGAATTGCATTTATTAACTGCTTGGTGAAAGAGTCCTAGCTTTCAGCCTATCTCAGCTTTTAACATGCCTTCCTCACCGAACTTAATCATTCCTAATAATTAATAAACACGGGAGGCGGAGGTTGCAGGGAGCTGAGATTGTGCCACTGCACTCCAGCCTGGGCGACAAGAGTGAGACTCTGTCTCTAATAATAATAATTATAATAATAATAATAATAATAATAATTCTACCTTCTGATTTAAAGTGACAGACATGTGGCTCTTCCTTTCACTTGAACAATTAGAGGTCATTGTAGGGTTATTCATTAGCCTAATTTCAATATCATCGTGTTTCAGGGAACAGGAAGGCCCGAGGAGAGAAGAGAGATGAGGGAATGGTCAATCAGTGGAGCAGTCAGAATACACCCAAAATTTATTGATGGAGTTCTCCATCTTATATGGGCATGGTTTGTGGCAACTCCAAGCAATTATGATAGTAATATCAAAGATCACTGATTACAGAACACAATAGCAGATATAATAATAATGAAGATTTAAAGTATTTTGTGAGGATTACCAAAATGTGACACAGAGACACAAAGTGAGCACATGCTCTTGGAAAATTGGCATTGACAGACTTGCTCAATGCAGGTTTGCCATGAACCTTCAATTTGTGAAAAATACAGTATCTGTGAAGGACAATAAAGCAAAGCATAAAAAACAAGGTAGGCCAGTACACAATTCAATAATTGTTAGTTTATTCACAGAGCTGGGCAACCATCATCATAGTTAATTTTAGAAAAATTTCACCAACCCGACAAGAAAATCTAAATGTATTATTAGCATACACTTCTCATTTCCTTCCAACCTCCCCAACGCCTAACCTTGGGCATACAACTAAACTACTTCCTGTCTCTATAGATTTTAGCATTCTGTACATTTCCTACATATAGAATTTGTATAAGTTATAGGCTTTGTTTGGTGACTGACCTCTTTCACTCAGCACAATGTTTTTAAGGTTCATTCATGTTGTAGCATCTAAAATACTTCATTTTAAAACTGATGATCAACTAATATTCCATTGAATAGATATAGGACATTTTCTTTATCTTTTCCTCTGTTGAAGTACATTTGAGTTGTTTCTACTTTTAGGCTATTATGGATAATGCTGGAATATTCACGTGCAAGTTTTAAAAAAATGTGTTTTTGTTTCTCTTTTGGGTATATGCTAGGTCATATGATAGCTCTATGTCTAACATTTTGAGAAACTGTCAGATTGTTTTCCAACGTGGCTCTGCCATTTTGCTCTCCCATCATCAGTGGTATAAAGGTTCAATTACTCCACATTCTCACCAATATTTATATTTCTGTTCTTTAGATTGTAGCCATCTAGGTGGATATAAGGAGTTATTCCATTGTGATTTTGATTTACATTTCCCGAATGGTTTATGATGTTGACAATCTTTTCATGTGGTTTTTGGCCATTTGTATATCTTCTTTGGAGAAATGTCTATTCAAATCTTTTGCCCACTTTTAATTGGATTATTTGTCTTTTTATTATAAAGTTGTAAGAATTCTTCATATATTTTACAGACAAGTCCCTTATTAGATATATGACTTCCACATCTTTTCCCCACCATTTTCTAGTTGTTTTTCCACTTTGTGATTGTGTTTTTGAAGTAAAAGTTTTTAATTTTCATGAAGTCCAACTTACCTATTTTTTTCTTTTGTTGTTCGTGCTTTTGGTGTCATATCTAAAAGGCTCAGCCTAATCTACAATCATATTTACTGCTATATTTTCTTCTAAGAGTTTTACAGTTTAGCTTTTACATTTTAGTCTATCATCCATTTTGAGTTGACTTTTGTGTATGGTGTGAGGAAGGGATGGATACAACTTCATTCTTTTGCATGTGAATATGCAGTTGTCCTAAAGGGTTACCTTCTATCTATACATTAGTTTTGAGAGAATTAATATTTTAAAAATATTGAATCATTCAATCCATGAGCATGATATAGCTCTCCATTTATTTTAGCTTTCTTGAATTTCTCTCAGGAATGTTTTTGTAGCCCTCAGTTCTATGTATATTTCATTAAATGTATTCCTAAGTTAATATTTTTTTGGTATTGTTTTAAACATTTTGATTTCTCAAAGAACTAAGAATAGAACTACCACTGTATATAACAATTTCATTGCTGGATGTCTATCCAAAGGAATATAAATCATTATATTAAAAAGATATCTGCTCTTGTGTATTTATTGTAGCACTATTCACAAGAGCAAAGTTATGGAATTGACCTAGTACTGTCCTCCAATCCTTCCTCTCTGGCACAGATAAATGGGAGCAGTAATGTGAGTCAGCCATAACAGCCTTCTTAGGAGAATTATTTCTGCCTTTGGATCTACTTAGAAATAATTCTCATTTGATAAGAATTTGTCCTTCTTGCCTAAGCAAAAATTAACAAAAATTGTGATAGAAAGAATAATCATGTTGCTTCACATTCCTTGCTTATTCTTATAGTCCTTATGCTGAAAATGTGCATATCTCAGTATTAGTCTCACCATTGCCGCACCTCTTCATGCTTATTTATGCAGTGCTGGGTGCTGGATGATCCTCACACCACCCTATTAGGTGGGTAATATTTTGATCTTATTTTAAAGATAATCTCCCAAGTGTGACATTGCTTTAAAAACATTTTGACTCCAAGGGAGCTTTCATTGGGTCTAAGTTTTCTCATCTTCAAACTGAGGAAGGGACCTGAATAATGATTTCCAAGGCCCGATTCACTTCTGACAACCTCAAGTGGATCCTTCACAGAATTGCAGGGATATCTCTGGGTGCAGTATTGGTCGTGGCTCTTTGAAGGGGTGATTCTCAGTGTCAGTCTGAGGGCTGAGAAAGTTCAGTCATCTTTGCTCAGTGGCCTTCTCTTGTCCTCCCCACTGCAATCTCTTTTATCCCCCACCTTCACTTTGCAAGTCTTTTCCTAGCCTGGCAGGTCAAGCACTACCTGATAAAAGTCTCAATAAAGACCTGTACTCAGAAAGGAGGAAACTACTCTCCACCCAAATCCTATTATAGCTCTGGGATTTCCCTGCCGCTCTGGAATTCACCTTCTCTGTCTCACACACACACACAAATTAACATTTAATCAAGGATTTTCTATGTATTTTTCTGCTATAAACATTTCTTATGTTAATGATAGTTCCTAATCTGGTCTTAAGGACAAATTGAGGTACTTTTGAGATAATAACTAGAAAAAGAACGTAAAACCTGCTCATTATTACCAGGGAAACTCATCTTGAATTACATTGATTTCTATAATCTGATAATTCTATGGTTTCCCAGGCGAATCTCATGTTTGGGTGAAGCAAGAGAGTTTGAATCATGGTTCACAGCTTTCAGAGGTCATTTTTAGCCTTTAATATGAGGCCTCAGCAGAGAAGTAGTTTCTTGTTGTGCTTTTGAAATTCTGATCCACTCAAGTTGAAGGCCACACTTAAAAGGTAAGATTTCTGGTTGGGCATGGTGGTTTATGCCTGTAATCCCATATTTTGGAAGGTCAAAGTGGGAGGATCACTTGAGGCCAGGAGTTCAAGATGAGCCTGGGCGATATAGCAAGATCCTCTTTCTACATTTTTTTTTTTTTTTTTAAAGCAAAGCAAAACAAAACCAGGTGAGATTTCTGTTGAGTGTATGTAGCAACCACCTGTAGTAGAAGGCCATCTGAGCCATTGCTCAGTTCTCTGGACTCCAGACCCAGTTTTGCTGCAAACAGTCTGTTTGCTTTTAGCAAATTCACTTTGTTTATCTGGGCCACATTTCCTCATCTCTAAATAGCTGACTTGAAAGTTATTGAATTTATTTTATTCATCAATAAATGTTGAACCTGCTTTGACTTCATTATAGATTGTGAGAATTAAGTGATAATATTTGTGGAAGAGATTTACTGTAACTCTTTGTGATGTAAGCTTTGTTATTCTTTCATGGTAGATTTACATGTTGACAACTGTTAATTCATTTTCACTATGTTCTCTAATTTGTAAAATAAAGGTGTGGAATTAAAAAACTAAAACATTCCCCATAATTGTCTCTGTCTCCTCCTCATGCAGAGATCATATCATGTCTGTACTGTTCACTGATGTATTTATTCCACTGCACATCACCGATGTGCAGGGCATGCTATATAATATGTGTCAAATAAATTTTTTTCAAAAAGGCTTGTAAACATAGAATGGCTGAGCTTTCAGATAATACAGAGAATGAAGACAATTTTCTAATTTTAAATTTGTGAAGATTTTTAAAATAACGATTTCTCTTTTGGATGAGGGTCAGGTAAAATGGGCTCTCTGGGTAGATGATGGGAGTGTAAATTGGTACCAAGTTTAATTGAAAACAATTTGGTATCATGAATCTTAAAAAATGCCAAGGGAACTTATTCTTGTCAAAGAGATTCATTTGCAGTATTTATTCTGTTTAAAGTTTGTCTAGGTTCCAAACTACAGCTGACCCCAAGAAAGTCAACAACCTAGGCTTTTTAAAAGAGATACAAGACCTGGCCGAGGAAATTCATAGAATGATGAACAAGGCAAAAAACTTAAAAAGACTTTGGGCAGAAAGATCTAACACTCCAGGCAAGTAAATCTCTCCTAACTGTGACACTACCCACTTGGACACAGCTTAGGGAGAGCTGTGGAGGCTGTGGGAACCCAGAATGTTTAAAAAACGCTGAACTCTTGCCTGTGCTAAGCTGCCATTGTGAGTCTTTCACGGATGAGGCCAGCACCTGTAGATGGTTGTGGAGGGTGGAGCTGCATTCTCTCTCCTCAACCCCCTGGGAAGGCACCTTGTACCGTGCACACCCTGCACAACCTTCAAAGGGCTGCAGACCATCCTGACTTTGTCTCTACAGTTACCTTCTCACCACTCTGCCTACTCCTTTACACTCTTTGGCTGTTGTCTTCCTTTCTTGCTTTCTTATTCTGTTTTAAGAATCTGTCTCCACTTTCCCCAAACATACACACACACACACACACACACACACACACACAATTTCCCAATTTGTTTCTTCCTTCTTGTATATTTGGATTGGTCTTTTCCACGTAAGTAACACTTTAAGACTGGCCTTGGATGATTTATTTACTTTGAGTACAAGCCTTTTGGATTATTGGGGTGAATTATTCCCTAAACAAAAGCAATTTCTGTTCATTATAAAGAATATCCACATTATAAATGGCTTCATCTCATTTATAAATCTACAGTAGGGAAAGTTAGGATGGATAAAGATCTTAGAGAGTTTGGCTTACAAATGGAGAAGTTTGCACCTCAGAAATAGGCAACCAGTTGCCTCTCTTCACATCCCTGAGTCATTGCCTACTGTGATATTTGTTAATAAATGGGGGCATTCAGTTAAATTTGAAATTTAAATAACAAAAATTTGTTACTATATGTATGTCCCAAATGTTACATACTTTGGTAAAAAATAATTTATTTCTAATCTGAAATTGAAATTTAATTGGAGGTGCTCCATTTTAAATTTGCTAAATCTGATACTCTTAAGTATACAGCTCCAACTATAATTCCTATGTAATTTTTTCTTTCTTCATGGAGTATATACAAAACCATGAAATAAAGAGTTTGGCAGTAACATGAAGAATGCACTTCCCAAGGCAGATGGCATTATGTGATATTTTGAAGAGACAAAATAGCACCTTTGTCCAGGATGGGGCAGGGCTGGCCATGGCCTCCCTGAAGGCTGATTTCACAATGGACCCAAAATGTATCAACAATAGACCAGAAGGGTTTCAAGCACCAAATGATGGAGTTCTTATATTACACTCTATTATGGGATCATTCTACTTTTATAAAATTTGATCTTCAAATAAGGTTTTTAACATGCTGTTGAAAACATAATCAATTTGTTTTGAGATGAAGTTCCCACTTTATTTCTAGTTTTCTATTATTTGAACCATTTTCTATGGTATATGTAACTTACAATAATCTGAAAAATTATAATTTCACTTTTTTCTCTTCAAGTTTTTCCTTCATGTTTTTCTTTTATAAAAAATTTTCATTTATTCCCTCTATCCTATCCTGAATTTTTTCAAAGCCCAGTGAAATTAGATACTAATAAAATAATACAATACCCTTTGGCAAATTGTTGAAATTTGGTTTACCAGTTAAATTTTTTCCATGAATATACCTAGATTTGGAAATCTACTGTGATAGCTTTCTTCAGATAAATCTTATGAAGATAGATTTATTCTTCAATTTTGGTGTATTTGGCTTTTGGGCCAGGGCTCTTGAATACTCCCTTTGACTTTAGAAGTAAAGTAGGCATTTAGCATGTGCTTTTTCATTGATGATTGAACTAATATCTCTTAAATCTTCTTTATTATAGATTCTTCTTATGGTTCCAGTTTTTTTACAGTAAGTATCTTAACAATAGTTTGAAAATTAGTCTTCAGAGACAGAATGGTTAAGTTTACAACACTGAAGTTTACATTCTCAAAGAATTATTTCTAATGACTTGACTTGTATAACAGTTGTGTAGAAGCTGGATTTGAGAGAGCTAAGATCTTTGTAAATATGGACTAAAAGACAATTTTGAATTTTCTGAAGCAAGGTTCTGGGCCTGTGAAAAGCAGAGGTGAAACCTGAGGCCAGCAGGTAGTGGGCGATCCACAGAGTTGCTTTGTAAGATGGCTACAGAGTCTGTCTGATCCCAGGGATGGTCTGAGATTTGTGCTTGGTACATAAGCAGTGATTCCCTCGAGGCACGAAGCCCTCAGTTAAGGCACTAGTTATCAACAGGGGATGATTTTGACCTCCAAAGGATATTTGCCAATGTCTGGATGCATTTTTGGTTGTCACAACTGTGGACCAATGGGGAGGGTAATATTAGCCTCTAGTGGGATGAGGCCAGAGACGTCACTAAGAATCTTAGAAAGCACAAGACAGCTTCTACAACAAAGAATCATCTGACCCAGAACATCAGTAGACCGATTGAGAAATCTCAAGTTAAGGTGAAACCTTGACAATATTAAAAATTCTTCCTTGCTCATATTGCAGCACCAGACATTGACTGACTGTACAAGCCTTTGTAGTAACATCGCACTAACAAGCACATGTGTCTGTATCTGTTTAATTCTAAGAAAGATTTAGATAGCTCAAAAAAAAATATATGCCATAAAACCATTCAGAGAAAAGTAAAAGAATAGGGGCCAGCTAATGAATCCTGGAATGAAGCAGGAATGTCAGTGTATCCATTAAATAATGACACTAGCAAAGAGGATTGAACAAACACTCATCTTGACTAGGAGCTTTCTGATGCAACAGGCCAAAAGGAAAATGTGGGATACACACACTCAAAGTCTTACAAATAATGAAAGAACTTAAAAATAGAATAAAGCATCATTTAAATGATTACATTAGCATTTAAAAAAGAAATTATAACACTTGATGCTTGTGATGTTGTAGCTTAGTGATATAATCTCATATGGTTGTGACAATAAAAAAAAGATATAATAATTTTTGGAAAAGCAACTTGATTTTTTTTGCCCCTGTAATTGTTCTGAAAATTAATGTTATGTATAATACAATAGAAATAAAAAGCTGTATGCATAAAATGTTCATTGATAATGATGGATAAGTTGAATTTCCAAGATAAGGTGACCTTGATGGCCTTCTTAGTACAGTCACTTCATAGATGGTATGTGGAAAATGAGTATGTTATTAGATCAAGTGCAAAAAACAGAGGACATTATCATATCCATCGTATGTTTGTGATGTAAAAACATTTTGGTACAAGGAGTGGAAGAAAAGTGGCTACAGGAAAGCAGTTCTATTTGTTACAATGAAAGATTTCTAGGTTGCTTTTTTCTTATAGAATTCTGAAGAAGATGTTATACTGTTTGATTTTCACTGAGAGTGAAATGGCTGTCTGAATAATCTGAGCAGAGGAATGGTGGGACTTGAGTTATGTTTTCGCAGGATTTCTTTGGACACTGCATCGAGCAGAGACTGACAGTAATCACAGTGGAAGTGGGAGTCCATGTAGGGAATCAGCTCATCCTTCTGTGCAACAAATGGAGGTCTTTTAGAACAGACGCACAGTTAGTGAGGGAGGTAGTGAGATGCAATGGTGGTTTTGATATATTTTGGAGGTAAAATCAGTAGGATCTGTTGATGAATGTGAGGTAGGTTATAAGAGAAAGAGAAGAATAAAGGATGACTCTATGTGGTTTGACCTCAGTTACAGGAAAAATGGAGTGGCTGTTTACTGCGAGTGGGGAAAGACTGAAACAGGTTTTTTCCGAGGGGAGGGGAGGAGAGGGTAAAAAGGCAATCAGAAATTGATTTGGGGGATGTTAGTGAGATATCCAAGTGGCATTGCCAAGGACATTGTGGGAGTTTCCAGCTTGGAGCTGAGATAAACTCTTTTGGCTGGATACATAAATTTAGAAAGTGTTGGTGCATAAATGACACTTCAAGGCCATCAAGGGAGAGTGTGTCGACAGAGCAGAGAAAGTGGGCTGAGCACCGAGCACTTGCATTTGAAAAAGAGTGTCAGGCAAGGGGGAAGAAGGTGAGAATGTGGGGTGTCATGGAAGTCCAGGAAGGCGATTTTCTAGGAGATGGGGATAATCCATTGTCTCAAGTGTGGCTGACTGATCATGTAAGAAGAGGATGGAGAAGTGCCACTGGGAGTAGCAGCATGGAATTCATTGGTGATGTTGACAAGAAAGTCTTTGATGGAATGATGAGGGTGAAAACCTGATTGGAGTGGATTTAAAAGAGAGTAGGGGCACTCTGGGCTCGGTGGCTCATGCCTGTAATTCCAGCACTTTGGGAGGCCAAGGCAGTCCAATCACTTAAGGTCAGGAGTTCAAGACCAGCCCGGCCAACGTGGTGAAATCACTTCTCTACTAAAAATAGAAGAATGAGACAGGCATGTAATGGCGGGTGCTTGTAATCCTGTAATCCCAGCTACTTGAGAGGCCGAGTCAGGAGAATTGCTTGAACCTGGGAGGCGGAGGATGCAGTGACCTGAGATTGTGCCACTGTACTCCAGCCTGGGTAACAGAGCAAGACTCAGTCGAAAAAAAAAAAAAGAAAAAAAAAAAAGAAAGAAAAGAGAGAGAATGGGCAAATAAGTGAAGACAGAGAGTGTATATATAGCAAGATGGTAGGCTGTGAAGCAGTGAAGCATGGGGTGGGAAGCTGCTGGGCATTGCAGAGGTCTTTGGTGTCTGCTCCCACCCTGCTGGCTCCCTAATTTCTCCCCAGCTAAAGATGGACAGTTCCCCAAGAGCTCAGACTCCTGGTCACAGGGGCAGAACGTCAAACACGTGCTGAGAGTATTTTGTTTTCTGTTCTTCCCTGAAGTAGTTCAGCTTGAGAGGGGCAGGGGAGCTAACAATCCCATTGCAACCCACAGCTGGGGTGACCACCAGACTTCACATTGCCTGGGACGAGAGTCCCTTGTTCCAGCAAAACATCTCAGTCCGTGGGCAACTGGGGAAGGTGGGTCCAACTTTCCCCGCAATGGGTCAATTCTGGGCAGCACCTTTGTTCCTGAGAGGTTTTTAGGATCAAGCCAGCATGGTCTCTGCAGGCCCTTGATGGCTGCGACTTTTCCCCTCTTTCCTGTCTCATTCTTTCCACCTCCTCAGCTTCCTCTTCCTGGTACCATTTCCTGAACAAGCCACCTATATACAAGTCCTTGTTGCAGGGGAACCTAAACAGAGACAGGAGATATTGGATTTTATTTTCCTTCTTTATTTTCTTATTATTTATTATGTTGTTGTTTATTATTATTATTATTATTTTAGAGACAAAAAATGCTCTGTCGTTGAGCTTCAAAATCCTGGGCTCAAGCCATCCTCTGGCCCTAGCCTCCCTAAATATTGGGATTATAGCCATTAACCACCTGTGTATGCCTGCCTTCCTTCCTTCCTTCCTTCCTTCCTTCTCTCCTTCCTTCTCCTCCCTCCCTCCTCTTCCATCTTTCTTTCCCTCTTTCTCGCTCCCTCTCTCCCTGTTCAGTACAGATGGAACCATTCATTTTTTTCCCTAAATTTTTTCTATCAATTGTTCGAATTGAATCCCAAGGATGCAGAACACACAGATACGAAAGACTGACTGTACTTCATTGTCTACTTTTGAAAAACAAGGTCATTCTTGTACGTAACCACAGTACAATTATTAGAATCAGAAAATTAACACTAATGCAATAGAGTTATTTAACCTACAGACTTCTTCCAGATTTACCAGTTGTTCTAATAATGTCCCTAACAGCAAAAGAACATCTTGGATCATGTATTGCATTCAGTTGTCCTGTCTTTAGTTTCCTTTGTTCTGAAACGGTCTTTCTTTGTCTTTATTTCATCAGGATTTTCGAGTAGATCACTTATTTTGTAGACTATTTTTCAATTTTGGTGTTGTTTGATGTCTGCTCATGATTGCATTTGGGGTTTTGCACTTATGGCAGGAATAGGTTGTGTTTTTTAAGATGGCAGATAATAACATGCTGATAGGAATGAAACAATAGAGGGGAAAAGAGAAGAGAGTTGCTGGACAATACTCTTGAGGGGTGGGAGAGCAGGAGGGCTGAGCTCAGTCTGAGGACTGAACCACTGAATTTAACTGGGGATGGATTTCTTTTTTTTTTTTTTTTTTTGCCAGAGGAATATATGATAGATTGTGAGAGGAGAAAAAAGTTGAGTGGGTATGCCAGGGAAAGGTCATCCAGGGATGGACCAGGTGCATGAGGGCAATGGGGACAAGAAAGAGTTGTTGGCAGAATGGAATATGGGGCCTGGTAGGGCTGAAGAGTCATTAGAGTTGGGGAACTGTAGAAAAGGAGTGGGGTTGGTCATCAAAAAGTGAGGTGCATAAAGTTGTAGCTATTGATAATGAAAATCAAGATTTTGACCAGAGAAATGGGTGATTCAAGCAGGTGGAAGAAAATATCACTGGATGGAAGGGAGATCAAGTAACAGAAGGGATTTGAGGATCATTAGATATGGAAATTATTGAGAATGGTGGCTGAAGTCATGCTGAAAACATGGTAGTGTGCTGGAAGTCAGAACCAGAATCCTCCATAAATGGAAGGAGCTCATTCTGGGAGCTTCCCAGGACCCTGCTGAGTTCTGAGACCCTCTCTTCATTCCACTGAGAGTGGTGTGAGGAAGAGGGAGTGTGTCTTGTTTGGAGTAGCTGGATCTCTGGAGAACCCTTCTTTTTTTGTTTGTTTAACTCTATGTCATCTGAAAGATAAATGCTGTGACTTTTATGAGTGGTCTAAAATGGAGGATTCACTTTTATTGAAGGAATGGGAACTAGGCGACAAGAAGAGAGCCAGCAACTGTGGAGCTAGGAACACCGAGTGTGGGGGAGCTCTTACTGGGATGTCATGGAGCGTTGGGGTGTTTTTCTACCTAGAGAGAACATGCAGGCTCAGTGAAGCACTGGAGACCCATGTTCCTTCCATTTTTGCACTTAGCCATTCTTGGCATATAATAAGAAAGCCTCGGTTATCTACAGAAATCCAAAAGCTCTATACCACCGGGCCAGCTGCCTTTGCCTTCTGACCAAGCCACCAGTTTTCACTGAAATGTTGGGTTTTCTTGTTCATATTTGAATTACTCTCTTTTCTTTCATCATTTACATGTAAAGAACAGATCATTACATTCTTATCCAGGGTCTATGTCAAAGACTTTGTCGCTTCAAAAACTGTGGAAGTTGGTACAGCTTGTTACAAAAACTGGCCTTATTTTTCTTCTTACCCCATCCATACTTTCCCCCCTCCTTGTCCATATTTTTAAGCCATTTAAAAAAACCCTCCAACTGACCAGAATAGTTTTAACATTGTGTTCAACATAGTGGCAAATCTGTTTAATGTAGTGATATGTAAAGTGTGAGTTTCTACCAGGAGAACATTTGCAATTTTGTACCTTTGCAGCATCTGTCTCTCTGTCTTATTTACTTTATTAATAAAACTCTAGAGGGAAACTTTTGGTATTCTTTTTCCCCCATCAGATGGATCTCAATAAGACCGAGGAGGTAATATTGAAACTGGAAAGCCTCCACCAGCAGCCTCTTATCTGGGATTTTCTACTGTTACTGCCAAGACTACACACAAGCCGTGATCATGTGAAAGACGGCATGGATGTGGCAGTGAACCTTCTCCAGACCGTTCTGAAGTAAGTGAAAAAGAAAAAACTTATCTAAGTATTGATATATTGTTTTTTTACCTTATTTTTAAAATGGGAAATAAAAATTAGTAATTGTTGGATTTAAAAAAACTTCACAATAATGTTACCTTGAAATGACAGGAGCTTCTGCACCTCCACATCTGTCCTTCATCTGTCTGTGCACATATTTTATATATGGGCAGTGATGTTGTTCGGAGCGTGTGCCCCCTGATTTAAAAAGTTAGCGCCATGCTTTAATATTTCATATGTTGTTATAGTTTATAAATGGCCATTTTTAATGGCTGCAGCATATATCATTCTGGTAAAGTACTATATACCATAATTTACTTAATAAATTTGGCATTGTATTTTTGGTTTTTTCTAAGTTTTTCACTGTTAGAGATAGGCTTGAACGTAATAATTCCCACTAATTTCTTAAGAAATTATGCCATAGTTGCCCAACATAGCATTCAGAACTGATACATTCAGTTGCTTCAGTTGTGTAATTCAGTGAGCTGGACATTGGTCTCCTATGCTGGATCTGACCTCCGTGTTACATGGGGTGACCTTTGGGAGCATCCCTTCCCGTGGTGGGCTTCTCATGCTTTAATCAGCATGGCCCTCTTTTATAAACAATTGAATTATTTTGTGTAAACCCATTGTATGAATAATGGGTTTTATTATTTTTCATTAGCAAAGATTTATATTCTTTTCTGATTTTTAACTGTTATTTATTCTATCTGCCATTGGTGAGAGCAACCCACATTGCCCTTAGGCTAGGACAAAAAGGGCCCTGTCCTGGGGGCTATGCTTTGGGGAGGTCCCCACTGTGGCCTTCCCCGGACTGTGCCTCAGCTCATGGCTCAGAATGCCCATGGGGTGAAGGAGATGTGTCCGCAGAGCCCACACACCCTGATTCCCTCTCACCCTGGAGTTCCCTAGTGTAATGGCCAGAGCCTGGTGAAGCCTCTTTCCTGGCCCCTCCTTCTGAGGGCATGTCTTACCACTGGACTGTGCCTCCTCCAGCCCAAGGGTAGTCTAGGGATGGCTGTAGCCATTGGCAGGAGTGTAGGGTGGGAGGCATGGGTGCTGTTGGGCTTTGTAGGCTGGAGGACCTACCTATGCGCACTGAGGCCTCTTGAGGTACAGACCAAGCTGAGGATGGGGAGCACATAGGAGAGGAATGGGCTGAAGGCTGGGGCTAGGGACAGGTGCTCCACAAACTCCCACATTCTGGTGCATAACTCTGAGGATCAGAAAATTCTAAATTTGAATGTAGCTTTCAAAGTTGTTATGAAGATCTATTTGCCAATGTAGGAAAATGGAACATATTTTGATAGTTAGTTAGGTTGATTTATAACTTAAATATTTGAACATATTTGAAATGCTTCCCTTTTTATTCTTGTCCAAAGCTCTGACTGTGTTAGCAGTGAACAATGAAAATAATTGGGCTATTCTGAGAGACACAAAATTTAAAATGAGAAGATATTGATGACAGTTGTTGAACCATATCAGCTTCAGTATAAATTGTATTTCCATATTTTGCTTCAGTGGCATGACATCAAGAAAATCTGCATTCATAGAGACAAGTACTTGCAAGTGGTACCAGGTTTCAATGATATATCTTATAATCCTGGGATACTCTTCAATACACAAAGTTGTCATAAAAGATTTTTCCAGATGAAAATCTACAAGGAAATAATTTGTTTGGAAGCACAGCTTATGATTGTGTTGGTCTCATGTTGCTAAAATGCAGATATATTACAACTTCTGTTGAGTGCATGTTCTAATCTACAAATCTAAGCGTATTTACTTATAAAATAAAATATTAGTATTTTAAAAATAAAATTATTATCACGTATATGTAGATTCTCCCTCACCAGAGCTCCTTGTTCTTTGAGAGAGTTTAACAGACACTGATCAACCCTTGACCTATTCAGATCCATAGGTTAAGACAGGGTGGAGGATTGAGGTACATGGTATTGCCCCCCAAATATTAGACTGATTATCTGAACTTGAAGCAGCCAGGCTGACTGTTTATTTGCTTTTCTAACATAGCAGCCCTTTGCACCCTGGTTGGCCTTATCAGCTGCCCTATGGCAGGAAGAATCAAGGCTGAGTATAAAATAACATTTATGGCAGAGCCAATGCAAACTTGAGTTCTGTGTCAAAGGCAGAGTGGAAGATGGCCTAAGTTCTCAAGTGTTTCAAGAGAAGACCTTACCTCTTACATTTAGTTACTAGTTCAGGGAGTTAGGGTCACATTAAAGCCACCAAGAATGCTGACATGTAAATGGTCCAGCCACATCTTGCAACAGCACTAGGGGCCCAGTCCATGGGATGTAAGTAAACCTAGAATTGATGCTACTTGTTTTGCTAACTACCCACTCATATTGCTTTTTGTTTTGTTTTGTTTTGGTTCTAGTTCCTTAATATCCCTAGAAGATTTAGATTGGCTTCCACTCAACCAAACTTTTTCCCAGGTTTCTGAACTTGTATTGAATGTGACCATTTCGACACTGACATTTCTACAGCGACATGGAGTAGCAATCACTGGTATGGGTGCCTTGTAGCTATTGCTATATTTCAAAACGTTTCACTACTTAAATTCATTGACAGTTGACATAGAGCTAAAATGATGTTCGAAATGATTTAATTAAAATTTCAAATTCAAAAAAGAATCAATTGTTTCTGTTAATACAAGACAAAAACAGAATACAAATTTGGAACTCAAAACTGAATTTGACTTTCTATCACTGTTGAAATTCTGCAGTCATTGCTAATATAAATGATATCTGAAAGTTAAAATTAACTGATTTTAAAATTCTTTGACTTTATTTCTTCTAATATTAGACCTGTCACTAGTTCTGTGATTTTAATCTTTCCCTTCTCTAAGCTCCTATTGGGAGGAAATATTTTAAAAATGACAAAGCTAGTAAGAGGAGGCAGCTTGATGTGGACTTACAGAGTCCTTAACTAAATAAGCAGCCCTACTACAGAGGAGGGAATGGAATTATATAGCTCTTTTCTTGACCCAGGATATTATTATTTCCTGAATTGCCAACTGAGCCTGAGCATTTTACTTTTAATTCCCTTCTTTTCTCTATTTTTCTATCTTTGGCTGTTTCTCTAAGGAAAATACAGTGAGAGAACAACAAAGTTGGAATTCATCCACTCATCCATTCATCCATCCATTTTTCCATTCATCTGTCCATCCATCCACCCACACATCCATTCATCTATCCATCCATCCATCTGCCTACCCATTCACCCACTAAACAACCCATAAACCTCTTTATACATCTATCCATCAATTCATACATTAATCCATCCATCCATCCACTCACTCATCCATTCATCTATCCATCCATCTACCTCCCCATTCATCTACTCACCAACCCACCAACCCATCCATCTGTTCATTTATTTATTAATTCTCTCATTGAATAAACAATGAGCATTTCCTATGAGCCAAACACTTCCCCAGACAGTGGGAATAAAAAGCTGAATAACACGTAGTTCTTCAATGAGAACCCATGGACACAGGAAGGTGAACAACACACACCAGGTCCAGTCATCGGCTCGGGGGAGAGGGAAGGGAGAGCATTAGGACAAATAGCTAATGCATGCGGGGCTTAAAACCTAGATGATGGGTTGATAGGTGCAGCAAATCACCGTGGCACATGTATACCTATGTAACAAACCTACATGTTCTGCACTTGTATCCCGGAACTTTAAAAAAAAAAAAAAAGACATAGTTCTTACTTTCAAGGAAGTCATGTTTAGTAAAGGAGAGAGATATGTCAATAATAAAAAACAAGCAAACAAACAAAAAACAAAGACAACAGAGTAAGGATCTGACATCTGCTTCAGGAAAAGCTTCAAGGAGGAGTTTTGAAGGGTGATTTGGACTTTATCAAAGAGATGAGGGAGCATTTCTGGAAAGAGAGAAGACTGTGTGAGCTACTTGGGCTTGCTGAGAGCCGTGAATGTTTGACATTCAGTGTGTCTGAGGTACAGTGGGCAGTAGCAGGGGGTGGCATAGAAAGGGAGCTCAGGCCAAAATACCAGTGGACATGGGAGCAGTAGAATTAGATCTGCATTATAGAAAGACACTTCTGGGCAGGTGTGAGGAGTGGATTGGAGGCACGCAGGTCTGGGGTTCAGGATCCTGGGATCAAGTCTTCCATCAGCCACTTTCTCCTGAGGTCTCAGTCTCCTGAACTATTATTATTATTATTTGAGATGGGGTCTTGCTCTCTCACCCAGGCTGGAGTGCAGTGGTGAGATGTCGGCTTATTGCAACCTCTGCCTCCTGGGTTCAAGCAAGTCTCCTGCCTCAGCCATCCAAGTAGCTGGGACTACAGGTGTGCACCACCACGCCTGGCTAATTTTTGTATTTTTAGTAGAGACATGGTTTTACCAAGTTGGCCAGGCTGGTCTCAAACTCCTGACCTCAGGTGATCTGCCTGCGTCGGCCTCCCAAAGTGCTGGGATTACAGGCGTGAGCCACTGTGCCCAGCCCTGAACTATTGTATAATGAGATTGTTATACACAGAAATTTCTATAATCCCATTCAGAATTTTGCTGCTTCATGGAGCAAACTAACATAAAACTCTCTATCGCCCCAAATTCCACCTGTTGCTTCTTTCTTCTTGTTGCTTGTGACTCAGCACAGTGAGACCCACACAGAAAGGTTTTTTTTTTTTTTTTGTAGCTTTCTGTAAGAGAAAAGCTAGTTCATTAATGTTTAACTCCATTTTCAGGTTAGATTTGTTCCACTGGCAACTATTTCTTATGCTGAGAACAAAACCCAGAGGGTGGTGCGAGATGAATAAAACACCTCTTCGAAATCTTCCCAGTGACCTTAATTTAACAAACTCATTTAGAAGCTCAAGTTTTTGTACATCATCCAAATTACAACAACCAATTTGCCTTACAATTGAAAATGTAATTACCGTTAAGAATGCAATTAAAATAAACAATTTTCTATTAACTCTCCAGCGAGTCAAAGCTAAGGAACACTATTACAAAACGTACTTTGAGAGGTAACTAAAAATTGTCTTCATGTCTCTTGTCTCCAAGGTAAATTCTTTTGCCTGATGAGCCAATTCCAATGTGAAGAGGAAGGACTGAGTGGCCTCATGTGTCTTTAGGCTACTGGTCCAATTATGTTATGCACTGAAACTGTTAATCTACACATTCTGAATTCTCTGTTGTTTAGCAACAAATTTCTGAATCAAAATTGTCTTTCACTTTTTGAGAAAGATTTTGTACTTTTATAAATATGCCACACTGATGTCACTATTTTTTCTCTCCTTTCTGGAACACTGTGAGTAATTCTCATACCTTCTGAGACTAGTGGAGATTAATAGTTACAGCTCAGCTTCGGGAGCCAGATCATTCGGGTTTGAATCGGAGGCTTAATCTAACAAGTAGGACTCTAAGAAAAAGGGGACAATTACAGCACCTACCTCATAGTGTTGTGGGAGGACTAAGTGAGACCTCCCATGGTATATTCTTAGTCTAGGTCCTAGTACCTCTTCAACATACAATACATGCTTGTTTTAATCTCAGATACCAATCTTTTTTCCTCCCATGATGCCATGTAAAGGCAATCAGACTGGAAACAAAAAGTCTTGTATTTCTGGGATTTTCCCCATCTTTAATACCTTCCTGAAGTCCCCGTTCACTTGGTCTGTCTTTGTAAATGTCATGGATTGTGCTTTTTTTGTAGACCTCACTGCAATTATAAGGATCCTATGAGATAATGCGTGTGAAAATGGTTTAATAGTGGCTGGCAGGTGAAGGGGCTCAGTCAATGAGTGTTGAATCATGATCTGCAACAATCTAGTTTCTAAATGAAGGTTCAAGGTTCAAACACAGCTTGAAATGTATGTGTTTTCATGTTTGCAGTTGCTGAGGCATACTCCCCAGAGATTTTGTTGTACCTTGAGAGTCTTGGATTTATATTTTGAATGTGTCACCTCTAGATAGTGCCATGGGTTTTTTGGGTAGCTCATGAATTTTATACGTTGATAACTTGAGTTAGGGGAACTTTTTCTTATGACTTAAAATAATTATTGGGAATATAGTTTTAAAGACTCCATAGCATTTTATGCTATGAATATACTATAATTTATCCTTTCCCTTGATATAAGACACTTAGTTGGTTTTCAATATTTTATCAGTATAGAACCTTTAAAATATTGTCACACCTTAATTTTTGTTCAGATATCTGATTAAGCTTCTTGAGAAAGATTTTTAGAAGTGAAATTATTGGGTTCAATGACTTGAATTTTATAAAGCTCTTGAAATACGTTTTAAAATTACCCTCTGGAAATGTTGCAACCTTTTGTGCCAGGGAGCATGGGACACTTCACCATTCTCTCTATAGCAGCAAGTGTTTATTCTGTTTGCTTTTTCTATTTGATGCCCCAATGGTGTTTGGTCTTCATTTGCTCTTCCTTTAGAGGTAAAAATGTATTTTTTTCTGAATTACATTAGACATATCAAAATATTCAAACAACTGATGGTGTAAATCTTCTGTTGTTCCAGCAGAGCCAGTTTACCACCTGTCCATGCAGAATATAATGTGGGATCCACAGAAAGTCCAGTATGATCTCAAATCTCAGTTTGGCTTCGATGATCTTCATACTCAACAGATCCTGAACTATTCAGCTGAACTAAAGGAGGTACACACGCTTGACTGCTTCTCACACCGCTGGATCTTTCCTGGAGACTGGATCTAGAGCATGCTGCTGGGGCAGAGTGAGCAGGTGCCATGGGAGAGGCAGCCAGACAGGAGAGTTCCCCTAAAACCCGAGCTCCTTACACAGAAGACACCCCTGCTGTCTCCAGCTTTTCTAGAAGTGTCTCTTTCCTCTTACCATGTAGTTTTATCCCAGAATGGAAAGGCAGCTTGGAAGTAATATGACACTTGATTGCTCTGGGAACTAGCAGTGGGAGAGGCCAGGTCAAGTGAGGGTGTGAGATTCTGAAGACAGCGCTAGTGGGGTCTAGGTAGGAAGATGGCGCATCCCCACTGTAGTGAGTGGGGATGCAAGTGGGTGAATTTCCAGGTAAAGAGATAGTTTTCATTAGAAGAGTAGGATCTGTGGGTCATGAATGCCTGCTGGGTTCACCAAAGTTGAGCCTCTTCCCAAACTAGGTGAAGTAAGGGGGTTGGACTGGATGATCCCCAAGACCCAGTTCACTGCTGGTATTGCTGAGGTTCTGGGAGGTATCTTTTAGTTACAGAGTCCCTTTTGTCACTCTGGCCCATTTGTAGGCACTTCTGCTTTGCATGGTGCAGGTCCAAGAACTATGCACCTGGAGCTTTGGTCCATAGACTCCACCTGCAGGGTTAGAGCATTTATGGTGCAGCTCCTGGGTCAGTGTTGAGCTAGGAATGTTTGGAGAGGACCCACTATCTTCTGTTAGGATCTCAGTCCATGCTGGGTGTGTAGATTTTGCTCACTTCTGTGTGAATTCCCCACAACCTGGTCTTCCCAGATAGCACTTTTCACATTTCAGTGCAGCTAGTTTGTGTTCAGACTGTTGCTTTCAATATTTAGACTCTAGATCTGTGCTCTCAGTCTGGAGGGTTAGATGACTGGGCTGCAGCCAGCAGACCCTCTTGCTGGTTTGGTGTTTGAAAAATCAGTTCTGCCAGGTAGGTTTAGGCTTCACCACAGTATACTAAATTTTGTGCTTCTTGTATCCCTAGCATAATTTTATTAATCATCTCACAATTTTATGAACTATCTACCTACCACAGGACTTGAAATTGTGACCCTTGGGTTTTCTCATGGATACTGATGTAGATGGAATATGAAACCCCAGTTGGTTGACTTTTATTCTAGTTTTCTCCATCTTTATGATCTGTTTTCTCATTATATTATAGTTTGTGTAAACTATGTAAAACTTTTACCTTAGAATGTTAAATATATTGAGATTAGAATTAAAAGGAAAATGATCAGAAAATACCACTGTGTATATCAACAAAGCTCCATGGAAATTGTACATCATATATGTGAGCTTTCTGTTGCTGCTATAACAAGTTACCCCCAACATAGTGCCTTAAGGAAACCCACATTTTCTTTTATCATAGTGTTCTGGAGGTCAAACTCCTGAAATGATCTCACTGGGCTAGAATCAAGGTGTCTACAGGGCTGAAGTCCTTCTTGAGGTCAAGGGGACAAACTGTTGTAGGGGAGGAAAAATTATTTTTTTCTCTATTATTCCATATTCAATGGCTGGAGCTCACGAATTAACCTGATAAAAGACAGATAAACAAGAGGAAAACCAGTTATTATGTAGGTATATATGGGAGTTCACAAAGAGAAATATATAGATGTTCCCTGACAACCATTCTGTTTTTCACTTTCAGTACAGTATTCAATAAATTACATGAGTTAATAAATACTTTATTATAAAATAAGCTTTGTGTTAGATTATTTTTCCAATAGTAGGCTAATGCATGTGTTCTGTTCACAGTTCAGGTACGCTAGGTTAAGTTTGGTTATGTTTTGAGGTTAGGTGTACTAAATGTGTTTTTGGCTTATGATATTTTCAAGTCGTGATGGATTGACAAGGAAGTAACTTCATTGTAGATCAAGGATCATCTGTATTTTAAGGAAGCAGCCAGATGATTAAGGTTTATACACCACCCAAGTCTATCTAAACAAAGGAAAGGGGGTTTTGGGTTTCTAGGTAGCAAGGCAACTTATGGGAAGGTGAAAGGAGGAAATGTACAGTGAATAAGTTATCCTGTTTTGCAGAGAAATCTCCCAGGTGATCAGAGTTATTTGGAGAAGCAGCTCTCTTTCTGGTAGGAGACATCTTTACAGATGAAAATTATCTTAATAATGTAAATTTTCCTTATAAATCTAAATTTCCTTTACCAAAAGGAAATTTATACTCTATTTTTAAACAGTCATGGAGTGGTAAGAAGTTTTTCCTGCCTCTGCTGGTTTTCAGTTTGTCTTTAGCTCAAAATAATCCATATGCCAAAGAAACATATTTTAGGGTGGCATATTCCGCTTTCTTGCTTTTTCTAGCTTCTAGTGGCCATCCACATTCCTTGAGTTTGAGCCCCTTTCTCAATAATCAAAGCCAGCAATGGCAGGTCAAGTCCTTCCCACATCCCATCACTTGGGCAGTGACATTTTTGCCTCCTTTCTCCAATAAGAACCCTTGTGGTTACATTGGGCTCACCAGGTTACCCACGATAATCTCCAATATCAAGGCCAGGTGACAAGCAGCCTTAATTTCATCTGCAGCCCTAAATCTCACTTGCCATATAATATAACATATTCATGGGCTCTTGGGATTGGGACATGGACATCTTGGGGACTATTGCCTGCTTCCCACCATTTGTAAGTGTAATTGCCTGCTGGGAGACTCAGCACATGCTGCCCTTGCAAGAGAATAGTCCTCCTCTTTCCCTGCCTCTGCTTCCCAAATTGGAAAATGATTTATCTAACCTTACATCCTCTGTGGAGCTCTTATGACCTCACTTCAGCCTCTGCCTCTACTCCTTCAACCTTCTATAATAGGGCATGTCCCAGGGAACCTGATGACTGCACATCTGCCTCTCATAGACTGTGAACACCTGAGTAGGGACTCGGCCTTATCTCTCTAACATGATACATGGTATTGTTGATTATTTTTAATTAAGGGAAAAAAACCAAAACAAAACATCAGGGACCCTGTGCTTTGACAGCCACAGGTTAATATTTTAAATATTGATCCTAAAGGAACCTAAAAGTGAACACACGGGACTAAAATTAAGCTTTTTGACTATTGCCATTATTTAGTCAATTCAGGCCGTTATAAAAAAAGACCATAGATGGGGTGGCTTGTAAACAACAGAAATTTATCTCGCTGTGTCCTCACATGGTAGAAGGAGTAAGGGAACTCCCTGGGTCTCTTTTATCAGGGTACTAATCCCATTCATAAGAGTTTACCCTCATGATCTGACCAGCTCCCCAAGGCCCCACCTCCTCATACCATCACCTTGTGGGCTAGGATTTCAAAACATGAATTTTGGGAGGGGGGAGTCCACAAGCATTTAGACCATGGCAGTCATCAACAGAATCTCTTAAAGATGGCATTAAAATTGTTATAGGGGAATGTGCATCATTATAACACAAACATAAGTATTTACAAAGCAGTGTTAGGGAACTGTGTTGAAGTTCATATATAAAATAAAGGAGATTTGGTTCAAAAATATTAAACAGTTTCTGAACCAGGACCTCAATTTGAATCTTTCCAATTTTATCCACGTTTGATAATCAGAAAAGAAAATGTTCTTGGCAAAACAACTTTGTTAATCCAAAGTACCAATTAAACTGGGCTGACCCATGTTCACTTTTGGCCTGAGAATCAAAAGAAACAAGATTTGATGTCATTTCCATGTCCTTGGCCTGGAGAAACAGCTGTTCCCATTGTTTGCGGATAAAACTGAAAAATGTAACTTTTTTTTTTTTAAACTACCAAGTCTTCCCTCAAGGTAAATCATGTGGATATCATCACGTATTACTTCTTCAATCAAGCAAATGTAAGAACTTTTACTATGGCAAGATTGTGGTGTTATTTTTAGAAGAGAAAGGTTCTAGGAAAGGAACTTTACATCTAAATGATTTTTCATATTCTTGTCAGATTCCCACAGACAACTCTTTGGAGAAGATGGTGTGTTCAGCCTTGTCCAGCACATCAGAGGATGAAGCTGAGAAATGGGGTTACGTTGGAGACTGCCACCCCAAGTGGTCAGAAGCCAAAAACTATCTTGTCCATGCAGTCAGCTGGCTGAGAGTCTACCAACAGGTGCTGTCCCCTGTCTATATGTTCTGTTCAAAGGTGTGTCAGTTTGAGTGTCCAAATCCATTCTCCTCCCCGACCCTGCCATGTTGCTTACTGTTGGATTTTATGTTCCTCCCAGGAAAGGGACATAAAATGGCCCCGCATCCTGGCCATTGAGTGCACCTTGTCCCATGTGCATCAGCTGGCTCCAGCTCCATAGACCTAGGCCCTCAACACTCATCACCAAACAGTCCATCCTAGGCTTGCACACACACCTTGGCAACTCAGAAGTTCCTAGACCCGTGCTCCATTATTGGTGCATGAGATTGCCCTGGAGTACTTTGACCAGCTCTTTGGACGTTTGCATGCTAGCATTCAGCATCCTTCTAGCACTTTGAGCTCTGGACTGGCCTTGTCCCTTCACTCTGGTTTTGACCAGAAGCTCTGTGCACAAACAGTGACTGTGATTTCAGTGACCATAATTTGACAACATGAAGGGAGGCTCTAGTCTGTCTTTACAGAGATGTTGGTGTGGGGCAGGGTGCCTGAGTGATTAGACTGCTCTTGGTCTTAGAAGCTCACAGGACCCTGGCTGTTTCACAGCTTTGTGCTTCTTGGGGAGGTTTTGGAGACTGTGAGGCAGAGCTCTCCTGGCAGTCACTTCCCATTTATTTTATCAGGTTTTGCTGTCTCCGTCTAATGTTCTTCCTTAAAGAACACACAATTCTTTAACTTTGTCCCCTGCTAATATGTGTCATGTATAAAGGCCAAAATCTCAAATAGTGGATAAAACATCATTAAAAATATATAGGTGTTGTTATCTGCTTCGTGGCACTACAGTCATCCAGCACTAAAATAATCAAGGGACAGTGTTGAAATGACCAGCATCCAATGGTCTAGTGGACACTCTTGCTTTGTGCATTATCTGGGTAACATAACTGGTTAATTAAGGCATAGTTAGCACACATACATGCACATCAGGCACCTCCCCATGCTATCAGGCTTGGGCAAGAATGATCTATTTTTGTGTAATGTTGATGATAAACCACATTGCTAATTGACTTCAGTATCATATTCCCCATGTCCATGTCATAAAATGGCACTTAGTAACTATGTATTAACTTTGTTGTATACTTAAAAATATGTAAATATATTTATGTTATCCTAAATATGTCCATTTATGTTTTAAATTATATTTCATTTGTTTAAAGGTGTATGTTATCCCCTTCTCTCTTTTTTTTTCTCTTTGGGGGAAAAAAGAGAAATAAGGCAGAGATTATAAAGTTGTGTGCCTCCATTGTTGCAACATGAAATCTTTAATTTCTGAGTAGAAATTAAATCATAATGCAATTGCTAACAGACATTTTAATTTACCAAAAAATAAAGATTGGTTGTCTGCATCTACAGCGGTCTGTTAAAATTTCTTAACTAAATACTATTCTTTCCAATTTGCTGTTATTAATGCTAGTATTTTTGTTTCCGAATTTATAGGTGTTTGATCAGTGGCAACAGGGTAGTCTGCTTCAGAAGACACTCACAGGCATGGGCCATAGTCTGGAGGCTCTCAGGAATCAGTTTGAAAAAGAGAGCAAGCCCTGGAAGGTGGTGGAAGCTCTGCACACTGTGCTGCTCCTGCTGAATGATAGCTTGGCAGCAGATGGCCCAAAAGATAATCATACATTTCCAAAGATGTAAGGCGCATTTCCCTGTTTGATTATTGATTAAGTGGATGATGCAGAATTTTTAAAGAGTGCATGATGATACAGAATGTGTTAGGAACACATTGTGTAAAACTACAGCTAAACAATGAATTTCTAGTTAGCAAATGGGAAATCAGAGGCTTTCATTGTGGACCATCGCCAGGGTAGAAGTCTTGGCAGCACTCTGGATGCCTATTCAGAGGCTGCAATACACCGAATATGGGAACAATATTTGAGAATATGTCAGTTTCCTGGATTTTAGATTTTATGTCTTTGGCATTTGTTTAAAAATGAATAAGTACATTTCAGAGGCATTTTTATGTACAGAACTACCTTACATGAGTAGCTCTTTTCCTAGAATCTTCCTCTTCTAAAAATATGTTTTTATATTTACTTAAAGATTTTGTATAGTTGAAGCATTTACATAAGGTCTAGAAATATTTTAGAAGTAGGAAATGATGGAACTTGTTTCTTCCTTTTTAAAGATAACCACAATTTATTCACCAAAATAGCCGACTAGATCTTTTCCCTCAGTAGGTGTGGCAGTTTGTAGTAACTTGAATCTTATTATCTTTCTGAAGTTAAGGGTCTCTTTGGAAAAGAACAATGTGATTTCTCAATATTATCTCAAAAATGTTCATTTCAAACCAGGTCACACAAATTCTTGCTCTCTGTGTACCATGAAGGAGAGTTGTGATGACAGAATTGGATAGGACCATATTGTGTTATTATGATTACTTAAGAAATAGCAATTCTAAACACTTTGAATTCTTTCACATATTCTGGAACTGTTAGCAAACAGGATCTTGCTTTCAAAGGTCCTATTTCCTAACTTTTACTTAAGAGATGTTCTAGGGCATGAGGTGATGGTGCTAGAGGCAGCAATACAGTTCCCCATCAGAGCCATAGAAGCTGCAGGAGGATGGATGCAGGGAGCCAGCAAGGATGCCTTGAAGCAGTGATCTAGGCAAAGGGCAGGGACAAAACATCTGTCATAAATGAACAAATGCAGGGACATTGCATTGGGGATATTGAAAACCTCCCTGCTGGTCTGTTACTTAATGCACATTAATAGAAACACCACATTAAGTAATTATCCCACAAATCTCGAATGCCCCCTGGCACTTTAACCTAGGATTTTGCCTGCTCTGTGCCAGGCCAGGGGATTGAAGCCCCAGGAAGCTGTATCTGGCTCTTAGTCCTACAAAGATTGGGGAAGCTGAAGACTACACCACACTCTAGGTACGAAGCTAGGATAGCCCTCATTCTTCTGCCCACCTATATAATTTCCACACATTCTCAGTGCCAGGAAGGTGAGGCTCAAACACTGGCTTTGCTTTTTTTTTTCTTTGTTTTGTTTTGCTTTGAGACAGAGTCTCGCTCTGTCGCCCAGGCTGAAGTAGGATGGCGCGATCTTGGCTCCCCGCAACCTCCACCTCTCAGACTCAAGCGATTCTCCTGCCTTAGCCTCCTGAGTAGCTGGGATTACAGGCTCAAGCCACTACTGCCCAGCTAATTTTTGCAATTTTAGTAGAGACAGGGTTTCACCATATTGGCCAGGCTGAACTTGAACTCCTGGCATCAAGTGATCTGCCCTCCTTGGCCTCCCAAAGTGCTGGAATTCCAGGCATGAGCCACCACACCTGGCCACCTTCAGCCTTCTTTACATCTTTCTGAGATTCACATGCACCCTTAGCAGAAAACTGTGTATCTTTTGTCATTAGCTTTGGTCCAAGAAACCCCATTTTTTTTTCCTACCCTGTCTCCACAGCCAATTGTTCATATCTTTTTCTTTTCCTAAGCTGCAATGTTCACCCAAAAGAAATGGAAATCACACCAGACTCTCAGTTTTCTACTGAGTTCTTCATGTCATTACAGACTGCCTTTTCTTCTCCAGGTTCTGTCTGGTTCCTGCCCACATCCCTGCATTCGGGGTGGCTGAGGTGTGGGAGCTCTTCACCCAGGCTCTAGCAGATAGCCTGGATTTTGGCAAGGCGAGGACTCACAGAGGTGCCTCTGGGCCCTCCAGCAAGGACTCGCCCTTCAATGTCGCACTTTGTTGTGAATGTGAAGTGTCTGTTCACAGAGGTGGGGGGAATAGTCCCTAGGGTCTGGCCATGTGGTATCCTTGCTTGTCAGAGTTTAAAGAGACTTGACAGTAAGATCCAGGTTCCAAGCCACACAGCATTTCTTTTTTCCTTGGGGAAAATAAGATAATCTCTTTCTCACTTTTTAGTTCTTTCCAGGAGCCACTCTGCTTCCTTCTCAGTGTAACCCAAAGAGTCAGAGCAAGGACTAACCTAAGCCCAGTTCATTCTGCAGGTGGCCAGTTCCAAAAGCCGTGCTTCCAGCTTCACTATAGCACGAGGTGTCAGGATTCTGGTCAGCAGCCAGAAACCTCAAGCATGTGGCTGTGATGGAGCAATTGCTTCGCGTTGTAGGGTGATGACTTGGGGATAGGTACCACTTCCTGCTGGTGTCTCATAGGAGAATTATCACTGGGACCTTGTTCGCTCTCTCTATTCCCTCTATAGTTGTCAGGTCCATCAGCTCTCCAGCTAGATAATAGCAGCAACTATTTATCAAGCCTGTGTTCAACCCCAAATTATCAAGGTGCCGTGAAGAGACTGACCTCTATGACACAGAAGTCAAAATGGATGCCAGGCGCTCAAAGCTGTGGGATGGCTCCAGCCAGTGGAACATTTTGCTTGGGCTTCAAGTAGCTACATCTCTTTCTGCTATTCTCTTTTTGTAGCTTGCCTCGTTTATCAAGGGTAAGGATTCCATGTAATTGCTCAAAGACACAGAAAGCCTGGAGTCTCCTGCTTTGGGTAGTTCTGCCGCCCACAGTGTGACTGTGTCTTGCTCCTCCCTGTCCCATATTTATTTCCAATTTCAGGTTCTTCACATTATCAAACTCATTTTCTTTCCAGCTTCTCTTCTCAGTTATTTCTTCCATGTCTGGAGCCCATTAGTCTGACACTCCAGGGACTATTTGTATTGAGCTGCCTGACTGGTCATTCTTCCTTTGACTTTGGAGAATCCTACAGGCATTGCCAATTGGCCCAAGTTGGGACCACTGCAATGGGTCCTGTCCACCACCACACACCATCTTTATATTTTGAAACTTTTCTCAAAATATTTTTCTATGTCTCATTAACTATAGGCTTCAAGGCAAATGTTTTTAGATCCCATGTGAAACTTTATCATAACCCTCACTTCTTTTACACACTACTAGGAATATACTTTTCCATTTTGGAGTAAAGAGAATGTTTAATCCACATTCAGTACCAAAAGAATCTCCAAATCGGGTGACTCAAACAATGCAATTCGTCAAGAACCTGGTTGTGTGATGAAGTGTGACTTTCAGTGTGGTGAACACACTTCTCAAAGTAGTGGAATATTTTCCTTTGAATGGAATTTTTATTTCCCTAGTTGGCACTTTGAACTACCTTTCATTTTATTTCGTTTATTTATTTTTGCACTCAGATTACAGCATCTGTGGAAATTGCAAAGCTTGCTGCAAAACCTGCCCCAGTGGCCGGCACTGAAGAGATTTCTTCAGCTTGATGGAGCTCTCAGAAATGCGATAGCTCAGAATTTACATTTTGTCCAAGGTAAGCTAGCTCTGGTGTTCTTTGTCCCCGACTCACTAAGAGTAAACATGAAATTTATTGGAAAATGGACTTGAAACTGCCTGACACATTGTAAAGTTGGGAGATAACTTTGCTGGTGTCGTATGCATATTTATGCTTTGCTCTGATGCCTTCTAGGGAATTTAAAATACAACACACCAAGGCTAAATAAACAATGAGGGCACTGTGAAGAGCGCATCCTTCTGTTTTCCTTAAGCTCATCCTGTGGCCTATGACAAGCAGTGTCCTAGGGCTGGGTTGACTTTCACATTCACAGCAGCATCCATGGTTTTCAGGCTGGAAAGGGACCTTAGTGCATTGTGAATAAGCGAATCTTTTGTATTCTGTTCCTTCTACTGCCTCCTCCCACCGCTGCTCCTTGGTGTCTGGTAGGGAGATCGTGTTCCCCCTGGGTTTGCAGAATGCCCTTCTTTGAACTTTCTTGACTATGGTGAGCATTATTCCTTCGGCCCTCTTCTGAGGAAGTCGGGTTTGCACTTTTGCCCAGATGGGCTGCAGCCGTTTCATTTTCTCAGGGAGGAGAGGGAAAAATGTGAGGGGGTTGTTGCTTTAGAAGCAAAACTCTTCTATAACTGATAACTCATACTCACTAGTCTTTGGAAAGGATAAAATGATATTACAGTGACTCCTGTTTTCCTTTCTAAGGAAGAGAAGAAAATGTATAATAATAGGTCAAGTTTTTAAAAATCCATGTTTTCAGGATCCAGTTTATTGATTCATGGCCATGTGTAGGAGTCAAGCTTACCTACCTTAGGTGAATAATGATCAATTTGTCTGCTTTGCAGAAGTCCTCATTTGCCTGGAGACGTCAGCTAATGATTTTAAATGGTTTGAACTTGACCAGTTGAAACTGGAAAAGGATGTGTTCTTTTGGGAGCTAAAACAGGTAAAGCACAGCAAAGAGTTATAAATAAGCAATTTTAATAAAACATTCAAGAAGCTCTTGCAATATTCAATTTTGCTCCTTTTGTGAATTGTGCTAGCAAAAAAAAGGGAACAATATGCAGGTTTTCCAAAACCTTATGTTGTGTTTAAAATGTTTATCATTGCTTATTGTATTTGCAGTTCTTGAGCCCATGAAGAGGGTATTTAAGCCTCTTTAAATGTTACTCCTTCCCACTCTTATTAATCTTTTAGATGTTGGCGAAGAATGCTGTCTGCCCAAATGGTGGTTTCTCTGAGAAGGAGGTCTTTTTGCCCCCTGGAAACTCCAGCATATGGGATGGTCTCCAGGGACTGGTGTGCTATTGTAACTCCTCTGAGACCAGTGTTTTAAACAAGCTACTTGGTTCAGTAGAGGATGCTGTAAGTATTCTACCATCTTAGCTCTTCTAAGAGCACCAGTTTAAGATTAAATTCACCAAAGATGCTAATATTTAACCTGGTGTTTTGATGAGGAAAGTTTTGCCATGAGCCCATACACTTAAAGGAAGGTGGCTCTCTGAACTTCAGCCGCCCTTCAGTGCTGGCCCTTCTGTCTGACTGAAGGGTTGTATGCCACCCGCCTGGCCAAAACCTACTTGAAATTCCTCAGACTTTCAAAACAGGCCACTTCTGCTTTTCTGGCTTCCTGGATCCTTGATCTGCTTCATTCTTGGCTGCACATGCTAAGAACAGCAGAGGAGTCTCTCTGGTGATTAGTCATTCCCAGCAAAGGGCTGGGCATGGTAGCTCATGCCTGTAGTCCCTGCACTTTGAGAGGTCTAGGTGGGCAGATCTTTTGAGCCCAGGAGTTTAAGACCAACATGGGCAATATAGCTAAACCCCATCTCTACAAAAACAAAAACAAAAATTAGCCAGATGTGGTGGCACACACCTGTAATACCAGCTACTCAGGAGGCTGAGGTGGGAGAATTGCTTGAGCCCAGCAAGTCAAGGCTGCAGTGAGCCATAATCACACCATTGCACTCCAGCCTGGGTAACAATGTGAGACCCTATTAAAAGAATGAAAAAAAAAAAAAAGAAGAATAGTGTATGTGAATGCATGCAGGCACAAAAAAAATTACCTGTTTGCAAATACCTTTCTTGTGACTGGATGTCAGCTCTTTCCTGGCAGAAATCCCATCCCAAATTTCTTTTTATCTGTAAAGCCTAACTTGTAGTCTCATATAAAGCAGGAAACTATATATTTACAGGTTACATATACTTGAGATAGCCTTTCTGATGATGCCTAGGATACATATCACTAACAAATCACCCCAAAGTTCAGTGACCTAAAACAAAGCACATTCTTTTCTTTCTCTTCTGACTATGGGTTGACTGGGCTCAGTGGGGGTGGTTCTTCTGATGGTCTTACTGGGCATCATTCATGTAGTTGCAGTCAGGTGGTTGTGAGGGGTGGAGTCTGGTTAGCTAGGATACTGAGATGAAGGCCTCTCACTCTCCTCTCAGACTCAAGATGTCTCTTCTCCAGGTAGCCTCTCCATATGGCCTTTCAGCAGGGTAACCAGACTTCTGACATGGCTATCCAGGGATCCTGCACACAGGATCAGGCAAGGAGGGAGAGTAGAAGCTGCCACTCCTCAGAGAAGGTAGAACTGGAACTGGCACAATCTGGCACAATTCACTTCTGCTGCCTTTTATGGGTTTGTGTGAGCCAGATCTCAGCCTAGAGGAATTGTGGAAGGTGGTACTAAGAATGAGACTCTCAGGGGGTCTTGATTCACAGGCTACTTGTTACAACCAGCGAACACAGATAGCTATGACACTGTGTTCAGTGTCAAGCTATCAAGAAATAAAATACTCACTTTATTATCGCATTAAGTTTTATTTTTGGACTTATTAACCTGAACATGAGTAAAGATTCAAGTCTGGAACTATAACTTAGATAATTACCATGCCATAGGGTAATTATGGTAACGATCTTTGATGTACAGTTTGAGTGGATCCCTTGTTAAGTGATACAAGGTAAAGGCCGCATCTCAAGTACCCACATTTGAATTGATTATTTATTATAAGCAATATCTTCTTTTCTTGTTAAGGATCGTATTTTGCAAGAGGTCATTACTTGGCGCACAAATATGTCAGTTTTAATACCTGAAGAATATTTGGACTGGCAGGAACTTGAGACGCAGCTGTCAGAAGCAAGCATTTCCTGTACTCGGCTCTTCCTGCTGCTGGGAGCCGATACCTCTCCTGAGAATGCCTTTTCTAGTGACTGTAAGCCCCAGCTTGTCTCCACAGTGTAAGTACATGTTTGTGGGAAACTTATAAACAATCGGGACATCAAAATGATTTCAACTGCACCTTCCACACAAATGATAAATCAATATGGCAGATTATATTTTGAATAGAAAGAGGTTCAATTTATTTTAAAAATATTAAACTACTGGTACTGTTGGAAAGTATCTAAAAACTGTAAAATATGAAACGATTCCCTTAATGTTTAACCACTGACTTAATCTTTCATTAGAAATTGAGGATCCCTGGTAAGTCCAAGGTATGCATGTGATTGAAGTTCTTGTTTGTGTCATTACTCAGAAATCATGCATTAACTACCAAAAGGAAGCTTCTCTTGGGAGCTGTAACTGTACATAAAATTTGCCTTGTTTTTATTTTATGACTCTGTGAATTATATGTGTGATCAATTTCCATTTTCCTTGACTGCTAGGAAGTTCTTCATCAAATATGTCAAATAGGGAATATTTATTTTCTTAATCTTTAAGTTCACTTCCTGTTATGGTCTTTAATTTTCCTCTTTTTTTACTTGTTGACTTGTTCTGTCTTATATTTTATGTATTCTCATAAATTGCTTTCCTCATTTTTCAAGTCAAAGTAGAGGAGTGTGTAAACAAACTAAAAAAATTAGTAGAACTATTTCTACCACTTATGTAAGATTCTGTTTTCTTACATAAGTGGACTGCCATGCATTTGCATATATTTGTTTTTAGAAAAATTTATAATGATCTAACTGTCATCTGCAAGATCATTTTTAAATTTTAATTTTCTCTGGATTCTTTTTGACTGCAGGATATTTCATACACTTGAAAAAGCACAGTTTTCCCTGGAACAAGCATATTATTGGAAAGACTTCATAAAGTTTATCAGGAAGACTTGCGAAGTGGCCCATTATGTAAATATGCAAGACAGTTTCCAGAACAGACTATTGGGTAAGCCAGTAGCCTAAATTACAGGAATGGGGGATGTTTTCCCACTTTAGTGAGGTAACATAATTTCCTGAGAGTCTATCCTGTTTAACAAAGAGGGGCTTAAAATGGGTCGCTCTCCATGCACAATTTGGCATTGTGATTATAATTTTTTCTCATCATTTATGACAAGATCTACCAGAAGTCCTGGTTTGACTGAGCCATGTTGTTCCTGCAAAATTTATAATAGTGACTCCTTTTACTCTCAAGACTGTCCTAGTTTGGGTGATAAATACTTCTATATGCAGACTAGTCATGATCCTACTTACAAGAGTCCAGATTTTCTGCTGTGGCCCTTCTCACTTTACTTAGCATTAAGATTGACGCTCCCACTGGGGACAACACCCCATGATCTTGTAGAATGAAACACAAACTGCTTTTCTCTATACACACACTGAACACTTCCAACACTTCTGTGACCATATGGTGTGGATTTGTTCCCCAACAAGCAATTCTCCATTTCTCCACTGACCATAATTGGGTATCCTACACTATCTACCTGGAATTAGCATCAGATCCTACAGGTTAAGGGCTCAGTCCCACAAGATTGCCCCTACTTCAGAGGCCAACCCCAAGTTCAGGCTTCCCTTCTCACTTCTGATCAATTGAGTATAAATCAGGATTCCCATGAGCCTCTTGTTGTGTTCAATAATTTGCTGATACAAGTCACGGAATGCAGAAAAACAGTTTACTTCCTAGGTTACTGGTTTATTAAGCAGAAATAATTTAGGAACAGTAGATGGAAGAAATGCATAGGGTGAGGTATGTGGGGGCATGGAGCTTCTATGCCCTCTCCAGGCCTACCACCGTCCCAGCACCTCCATGTCTTCATCAACCTATGAGCATTCTGAACACTGCCCTTTTGGGTTTTTATGGAAGCTTCCTTATGTAGGCATGATATCTTAAATCATTGGCCATTAGTGATTGACTCAACCACCATCCCTCTCTCCCCTACCTAGAGGTTAGAGGGAAGGTAAGAGAATGAGAGGAGAGGGGCAGAAGTTACAGTGAGCCAAGATCGTACCACTGCACTCCAGTTTGGGCAACAGCGTAAGATTCTGTCTCAAGAAAAAAAAAAAAAAATTCAAGCTTAACTTCCCTTTAATGAGAAAACATATTCTGAATGTTTTAATATTTTGAATTTGTTGAGATATGCTTTATGGCCTATATGTTCATTGATAAATGTATGTGCTCCTCGAAAGAATGTGAATTCTATCATTGCTGGATAGAGTAGTTTATATTGTTAATTAGGTCAACTATATTAATTGTGTTGCTCAAATCATTCATATCTTATTTGTGTCTTATTTGCTTCTTTTATCAGTTACTAATACAAAATACAAGTAGATTTGTCTATTTTCTTTTTGTTTTATCAGAATTTGCTGTATATAATTTGAAGTTATATTATTAGGTGCAAAAAATCTACAATAAATATATATTCTTACTGGATGAACTCTTCTCATTAGGAAATGACACTCTTGCTCTAGAATTGTTTTTGCCTTAAAAATTGGCATAATCTAATAAAATGGTAGTATTAGTCCTAGTTGGTGCCCCAATGTTTAGCTGAAACACCACTTTAATTAAATTTATTATTAAGTATTTTTTCTCTTTTGATGCTATTGAAAATAGATTTGCTTTCCTTTACAATTGTTAATTGTTGGTGTATAGAAATGCAACTGATTTTTGGATAATGATTTTGTATCTTGCCACTTTGCTGACTTAGTTTATTAATTCTAACAGTTTTTTTGTGTGTTGAATATTTAGGGTTTTCTATATATAGGTTTACATTATCTGTGAAAATAAATAATTTTATTTGGATGCCCTTCCTTCCTTCCTTCCTTCCTTCCTTCCTTCCTTCCTTCCTTCCTTCCTTCCTCCCTCCCTCCCTCCCTCCCTCCCTTCTTCCCTTCCCTTTTTTCCCTTTCTTTCTCCTAATTGCTGTGGCTAGACCTTTCAGTACTATGTTAAATACAAGTGGCAAAAGTGGCACCCTTGCCTTGTTTCAGCTCGAAGTGGAAACACTTTTGTCTTTTACCATTGAGTATGATGTTTGCTGCGGGCTTTTCATTATGGTTTTATTATGTTGAGGTAGTGTTCTATTCCTAGTTTGTTAAGCGTTATAAAAGGGTGTTAAATTTTGTCAAACTTTTTATCTGCATCAATTGAGATGATTATGTGTTTTCTTTCCTTCATTCTGTTAGTGTGGTATATTGCATTGATTTATTTTTGTGTGTTGAACCATCTTTGTATTATAAGAATAAATGCTACTTGTTCATGATGTATAATCCTTTTAATTAATTCTTTTTTTGCTATTTAGTTCTGTTTTTGTTTTATTTTGTGTTTGTGTTTATTTTTTATTTTCATAGGTTTTGGGGGAACAAGTGGTATTTGGTTATATGAAAAAGTTCTTTAGTGGTGATTTCTGAGATTTGGGTGCACCATCACCTGAGCAGTAGACACTGTACCCAATTTGTAGTCTTTTATCCCTCATCCGCAACCCTTTCCCCCTGAGTCCCCAAAGTCCATTGTATCATTCTTATGCCTTTGCATCCTCATAGCTTAGGTCCCACTTATGAGTGAAAACATAGAATATTTGGGGTTTTCCATTTTTGAGTTACTGCACTGAGAATAATGGTCTCCAATTCCATCCAGGTCACTGCGAATGCCATTATTTTGTTCCTTTTTATGGCTGAATAGTATTCCATGGTATATATGTATACCACAATTTCTTTATCCACTTGTTGGTTGATGGGCATTTGGATTGGCTCTATATTTTTGCAATTGTGAATTATGCTGCTATAAACATTCGCTATTGAATTCCATTTGCTAGCATTTTGTTGAGGTTTTTGCATCAGTGTTTATCAAGGATATTGGTCTATACTTTTCCTTTCTTGTGCTATCTTTGTCTGGTTTTGGTCTCAGGGTAAAGCTGACCTCATAACATTTGAAAGTGTTTTCTTTTCTTCTGGAAGAGTTTGAGGAGGATTCATGTTAATTTTTCTTTAAATATTTGGTAGAATTTACCAGTGAAGCTGTTGGGGTTCTGGGATTTTGATGGTTGGGAGATTTTTTATTGCTAACTCAAGCTCCTTCCTAGTTATTAGTCTGTTCTGATTTTCTGTTTTTGTTTTTTCGTAAATCGATCTTGGTAGATCAGTCACTCTAGGATTTTACTCACTTCCTCTAGGTTATCTAACTTTTGATATGCAGTTGTTCATAGTATTCTCCAGTAATCCTTTTTATTTATATAAAACCAGTTATAATGCCCATTTTTGTGTCTGATTGTAGTTATTGGAGTCTTCTCATAGTTTTCTTTGTCAATATGGGTAATAATTTGTCAATATTGTTGACCTTTTAAAATAATCAACTTTTGGTTTTGTTGATTCTCTCATTTATATTTCATTTATCTCTATTTTAATAATTAGTAGCTCCTTCCTTCTGCTGGCTTTGGGTTTTACATCCTTAAGGCATGAAGTTCAGTTAATAATTTGTGATCTTTTCTTTAAATGTAACCATTCACAGCTTTATATGTTCCTCTTAGTGCTGTTTCACTTATGTCTCACTAACTTTTGGTGTGTTGTATTTTATTTTCAATTATCTCACAATATTTTTAAATTTCCCTTGTGATTTCTTTTTTGGCCTATTTGTTGGAGTGTATTATTGAATTTCCCCACATTTTTCAGTTTTGTTTCTACTACTAATTTCTGGTTTCATTACATTGTAATAAGAAAACACACTTTGTATTATTTAAATCTTTTAAGATATATTAAGACTTGTTTTGTAGCTTAACATGTAGTTTATCTTTGGGGAATGTTCTATGTAGACTTGAGAAAAATATGTATTATGCTGCTGTTGAGTGGAACATTTTGTACATGTTTGTTAGGTCTAATTTTTCTGTAATGTTGTTCAATTTCTCTGTTTCCTTTTTCTTCTTACTGATGTTTTGTCTGGTTGTTCTATCTATTACTAATAGTGGGGTACTGAAGTCTCCTACTGTTATAGTAGAACTGTTATCTTTCTCTTCAATTCTGTCAATGTTTGCTTCATTTACTTAGGAGCTCTGATGTTTGGTGCATAGATATTAATAATTATTTTATCTGTTTTGGTGAATTGATTCTTTTATCATTATATAATGTCCTTCTTTGTGTTTTGTAACAGTTTTTGACTTGAAGTCTGTTTGTCTCATATTGGTATGGATGTCTTATTCTCTTTTGGTTACTATTTTCATGAAATATCTTTTCTCACTCTTTCTCTGTTGACTTATGTGTGTCCTTAGATCCAAAGTGCTTCTCTTGAAGACAGCATGAAGTTGGATCCTATATTTTCATCCATTATACTAATCTGTGTCTTTTGATAGGGGAACTTAATCCATTTACATTTAAAGTAATTATTGATAGGGAAAGACTTACTTTTACCATTTTGACATTTGTTTTTAGACTGTCTTACAGCTTTCTTATCCCACATTCCCTGCATTACTTCCTTTTTAGTGTGTGTTTAATTGACTTATGATTTGATTCCCTTCTCATTGCCCTTTGTCTGTATTTAGATATATATTTTTATGCTTTATAAAAGTTATGAAGATATAAACCAAAATTACAATAATAGGTTTGTATATTTGTTCATGTATTGATCTTTACTAGAAAACTTTATATAATTGAATGACTTTACATTACTGCCTAACATTTTTTTGTTTTGACTTGGAAGACTTCCTTTAGCATTTCTTGTAGGAAAAGTTTAGTGTTAAGGAACTCTGTCTGTTTTCATTCATATGAAAAAGTGTTAATTTTACTTCCACTTTTGAAGAATAATTTGTTAAATATGGTGTTCTCAGTTGACAGGTTTTTGTTGTTGTTGTTGTTGTTGTTCTTTCAGCGCTTTAAATATGTCATTCAACTGCCTTCTGGCATGTAAGATAAGTCAGTTGGTAATCTTACAAAAGCTCCATTGTATGTTGTAAGTCGTTTTTC